TTTCTTATCAAGCATTGTTGCCTCCTCCTTTGTTTCCCCTTACCATCCTTTCCCATCGCCCCCCCCCACCTTCCCGTGCCAAAGTTGTAAACAACCCAGATGCCCCTCAGGAGGTGAATGGATCAAGAAAACGTGGTATATATACACAATGGAATTCTATGCCTCCATCAGAAAGAATGACATTGCCCCATTTGTTAGGAAATGGAAAGACTTGGAAAAAGCCAGGCCCAAAGAAACATAGGTCCCATGGTTTCCCTTATTTGCAATAACATGTATGTCTGAGACAAGCAGAAATGGTCAGATAAGTTGTTACTTGAAACGAACCCCAAGATAAGGATTCAAATGTTTTTTTTTCTTTCTTGCTATTGTTTCTAACATATTTATAAGATATTTCTTTTGGGGGGGTGGAGGGGCTCCCGTCATGGGGCCTGAACTCTGGGCCTGGGCGCTGTCCCTCAGCTCTTCAGCTCAAGGCTAGCGCTCTACCACTTGAGCCACAGCGCCACTTCTGGCTTTTTTCTTTTTGCTTATGTGGAGCTGAGGAATTGAACCCAGGGCTTCAGGCATGCAAGGTAAGTGCTCTACCACTGAGCCACCTTCCCAGCCCCTATAAGATATTTCTTTGTGCTTTATATGTCCCTCCCCCACGGTATAACCCCTGTTTTCACTGTATTTGATGTTGGTATAATTTGTTGAGGGGAAGGGAAAAAAACACACTGTTTAAATAGGAATACAGGTGGACCCATTGCAACAATGAGATGTACAAGATGTTATGTCAAAATGTTTCCTATCTTTTTGAACTTTATAGACTATTAACATTTCTCAGCTTAGGACCTGGTTTATTCAGCAGAAACTACATGTAGGTGAATTCCTTTCTTATCTCTTTGACCAAAGCTGGACCGACCTTTAGGCACTCATGTGCCTAATCTCGTTTTTAGCATATATTCACACATTCTGGGGATTCCAACATGGACATATTTTCATGTGCAAGGAGATTTTTTTTTCTGCCTGCCAACTCAATTTATAGAGCTAATTCTAATCATTGTGACATTTTTTATTATGAGGTATTCTTCATTATAGCCTATAAAATGTGACGCTTTTATGGAATGCACTTGCAAAGTAAAAGCATTGTACTCTTACATTGTCTCAAATTATACTTCTGATACTATGTGTATGTGCTGGGAGGAGTTTCTGGGTTTAAATTCAGGGCCTTATGCTTGGTAGGAATGAGCTCTACTACACCAGCCACTTAATGAGGGAGGGGACAGCAAAATATTTTTAAACAAAGAAAAAGACCAGATTTTTATTCATGGTGCTAAATGGACTTTTATTTTTCAACTATATTTTTAGCCAATTTCCAATAAAAATAAATAAAAATGAACAATACCTTGTAAATTATCTACATTCTCCTTCAATATCTTAAGGTACACAATTATCAAAGCTGATATTGAACATAAGCAAATTGATACAATTCAGTACTCTAATAAATTCATAGTCAAATAAGTTACTTTAAACTGCATGCAATACAACTTTATGTTCCGTAGCATCTTTAGCAGAAACCGTATACCAAAATGGCTCTTCAAACTTAAAAGTGCAATTACGGAGTGCAAAAATAGGGAAAGAGTAAAAACCATATATTACATTAACATGATCAGATTTGCATTAACAGATATGTTTTCAACTTAGTCATTCCTCATTTAAAACTCTAAATGTATAGCAGAAACACTAACTGCCCTTCCCCTCCCCCCCAGTAGTACAAAAACAAAGCAAAGCAAATAAACCCAGAAAACGTTGGGAAGTGAATCAAAGATTTTTTTTTCCAAAATTTAAACTAGAAATTGGAACAAAAATAATCAAGTGAGTCAGAGAGAGAGACATTACTGAATTTATCAGAAAATAGACACTAGGATTGTATGTTTGCTACACAAAAACTGATTTGAAAGCAGATGACAGGTCAATTTAGCTAGCTCTATTCTCAAGGACTCAGATAAAATATAAATCCAAAATTAAGACATAGCACTGTCTGTGTGCTATTTCTCCATTGATCTGTCTCAAGCAAAAGTGAGGACAAAATGTTGTATAAGAGAAACAGTAGTTATACTGCAGCAGAGATGTTTAAAATAGTAGATAAATCTCAGTTTTAAAATTAAATTTTTAGTACCACTTATACTATTTAATGTTGATTTGAGTGTATCCACTGAGATACTCAGTGGTCTTGTGAGACATTGTAAATTATTCATCTTTATTTTTTATATTTTGCACTTAAGATTGTTTTGGTTCAGTGAAGTATATGCAGTTTGTTTGGCACACAGTGAGAAATCCATAACATAGGGAGACAAACCAATGTGAGCCAAAATCTTTTCATTATTTGTAGGAAACACAAATTAATAGCCATATTTTATATGCTTACATCAACATTATTTTCACAAAGATCATCATACTTTTGACCTATATTCACATCCAAAATGCAAGCTGGATCATGACTTTTCACTACTTAATAAGTATTTATAGAGAATGGGGTGTTTTTAAGTTAGGGTGTTGCTAAGTTGTAGTGTTTGCCTCCCAATTCTGGGCTGTGGGTTCAGCCCCCAGTACCAAAACAAAAACACCACCACCACCAACAAAACCCTCACACTTATAGAAATTTAATTCTAACTTTTCTTCAGAGACTTTTTTAAAGCATTAAAAATTATGACAAAATTTCTAAAGCCACTTTCATCAAGTTATAATTTATTTAGTATTTATTGGGATGCTTAAGATAGAGCGATATAAAAATATTGAGCTATTCATAGCAAATTTTTTGTGAATGATATAAATTCATTGTAGTTGAACTCTACTAAGATTTTTTTCTTTAAAAGTGATCACTGAAAAAAGCAAATGGATCACAATAGATTCTTTTCCTCCTCCTCTTCCTCCTCTTCTTCCTCCTCCTCCTCCTCCTCCTTCTCTTCCACTTTTTCTCTTTCTTCTTCTTCTTCTTCCTCTTCTCTTAGCAGTACCGGGGTTGGAACGTCATGGCTAGCACTCTACCACTCAAGCCACGCTTCTACTTCTGGCTCTTTTGCTTATTACTTGGGGATAAGCGTTTCTAGGATTTGTCTGGGTGGGATTCTCAGATCTCAGCCTCCTGAATAGCAAAGGATTCTAGGTATAAGCCTGACTTAAAAACAGACCTCCTTGACACACAGTTGTGTCTACAGAAAAGTATAAGATTCAAAACATGTTTCTACACAACACATTCGACTTCAGCTATAATAAGTGGGAAATAAATATACTTTTAGCTTTTACTAATTTGAATTTCACTTTATCCTGTTTTTAAGTATCATGTTTATTCATAAAGTGACAAATGATTGTAACTCTATGCTCAATGGAGCTCATGATTGTGTGAGCATTTGTATATGAATATGCACATGTATACATCATTGTTTTATTTATCTGCTTGCTTCGGTAATGCAAGGGGCAGGGCCAGGAATTTAAGTGGCAGCCATGTGAACGTTCCAGGTACGTAAAGCAAGGCTCCATGTGCAGGCAAATCCTGGCACATGACAATACTAAGGTCAGCCTCTGTTTTGTCCTAACAACATGTCAGGCAAAGGTGAAGGAAGATTGGGTCCTCCCTGACCTGGTATGTGATCCAGAGTGACTCTGCCCAGCGGTTTAGCATTTGGTGAGGTAGCTCCCATGAAATCCAAAGGTGAGGACAGCTGCAACTTCCTTATGCAACCACCCAAAATACCGTCAGGAGCTAAGAGCACAAAACAAACCTTCCTACCTTCCCAAAACATAAACAAATGACAGAAAGGGGCCCTAGTTTCATCTCAGCTACCATAGGAATGGGAAACCAAGTCTCTACATTTCAAAAGCTTGCAAGTACATTTCGTGTTTGGTAAATAGCATTGTGCTTTAATTTTCCTATTTTTCCCACTTCTTGTGTCAGGATACTCGACTAAGCCTATAACTTTAGGTCCTAGAACAAGCTACTTACAATACTATTTGTGAGGGAAAAAAACCCTCCTGAATAGAAAATGAAATAACTGTATTTCAATCTTTAGACATTCTTTAGAACTTTTGTCTAATTACATGTTCAAATAATGAGTCATCCACCAAATTTGTACTCAAATTTAATATTCAGTTCTTTAGCAAATTCCCTCTAAATACTCTAAAGAGAAGCACAAATTTTGTCTTCAAGTAAGGATTCTCTCTCTGATTGTCTGAGCAAGCAACAATTACCTCACATAATCATGTACTGTATAAAAATGAAGTCTCTACAACACATATAACTATAATAAAAGTTTTTACATTTATTTTACTTAAGGAAAATCTGTTTGATAATGACTAGTAGCTACAGGAGTTGTGATCTAACATAAGAAACAGTCCTGTTGCCCTCCAGCTAGACAAATGCCAAATGTCTGGTTAGCCATGATAGGAGGAGCAAAGAGATTCACAAAATTCAGGTTCTGTTTTTTTTTTTTTTCCAAATTTGTAGTGTGTAACCCAGAACCTGTGTTTGCTTCTCTCAAATCTCAGTTGTACTGCTGTTTTAATACAGTGGTCCCAGCGAATGTAACAAAGCATATATGCACGAGTGTGTATATGCTAATTATCATTTGCTTAAGGATTAGAACAGTATCTGAAAATAAACTTGTTTTGACCATATACTTAGACTCACAGAACTGTGTCACTTCAGACACCCGAACAATGAACCAGATTTGGCTCATCCCTAAGCACTGGGCCACATGCAGACTTCTGAAACCAGCAACAACAAAAGAAAGCATTTCACTCAAGAAATTCTTACAAAAATATCAATTTTGTTCTGATATTAAATATTTTACACATAATATATTAGCAAATAGTCTCTCAAAAATAAAATTCTTTGAGTGCATTAAAAATATACACTTTTTGACCTAACACATGACCCAACATAAATATTATTAATAAAATAGAAATATGAACATAAACAAGTACACTGGGCATCTCTGCCCAGCTATTTGATGGCATCGTTAGACTTGTGGCAATACAGGGTCCCCGGAGGTCACTCTTTCATATTCTTTCTTTGATTTTTTACTTTTTCGATTTTTGTACCTGGAAATATTAAAAAAATAGTGATCAATAAGAATAAAAACAAAACATTTTAACCAAAGTAATTAATAGATAGACTTCTAAAGCACATTCATATAGTGTCCAAAAAAAAGTAAATAAATGAGTGAAGGAAAGAAGCACTTTATATTCAAACAAACTTGGGAGGAAAATGATGAAGATTTCTCAAAGGTTCCAACACAGTTATATGCACTGTGAAGTTACAGAGAACTTCTGCTGCTCTGTCCTTGTCCCTGTCTCTTTGTCTCTATTCCTCTTTCTTTCGCTGTCATACTCAGTTCTGTGATGAAAACTAATTAGAAGACATTTTTATTTGATGCATACTTAGTCTCAAAAGTAGCATAATCAATTTGATCTTATAAAGGTAGCATACATCCAGAACTTGAGTATTCATAGTAAAAAAACATTAAATAATTTGCACCAACTTCAAAATAATGATAAATTGGAGATATTTTCATGACAATTATTATTCATAACTCCCACTGTTTCTTGTGATCTGGTCCTAATCAATAAAAACTGTCAATCTATTACTCTATTTTCTCCTGGTTATCATCTTGTGACAATATTGAACAATGGAATCGGGTCTGACTACTTTAGGGAGCAGTGAGATTGTAAAATTATCTGAAAACTCATTTCTACAACTTTTCCTGAAATGTTCATATCACAAGACCAGTTGGGTTATTCATTTACAAGCCAATGTTTTATCGAATAAAAATATGACCTAATAAATTAAAAGAGTCTAATGACAGCATTCTGCCTCACAGTGTACTTCCTCGTGTATTAGATTATCATATTCAGAATTCACCTAAGCCTTGTAATTATTATTGGGGAGGAATCTCTGTCTGTATTTTGTAGAGGAACTAATGTCCCTATTTGACTTCCTAAGATCACACAGGCAGTAAATAACAGAGCTCACAGACATTCCGCAACTTTGTAACTATCACAGTGCTGATTCTGTGTTATTCCTCTGGCACTATGTCCATGTTTCTACCCAATTGTGTAAAGCGGCTGCAATCAGGAGAGTATAAAAGCACTGGCTTACCATCTGCAGACGTAGTACAAAGAACCGGCGACTGTGACAAGAAACAAGAGGACAAGAATCACAGTCAGAACCACGTATTCTTTGCTCAAAGGTTGGTGGACGTTTAAAAAGGAGTGTTCACATCGGACTCCAGTGTAACCCACTTCACATCTTTAAAAAAAAAAAAGAAAAAAATCAGTTGCAGAAGAGAAAAATCATGTTCTTTTTCTAAGAACTAATGTTGCACCATAGTTCATGCAATGAGCAAGATTTGCTGAAAGTCACAAAGATGAGTTCAAGGATTGAACTTACAGAGGTTCTGTGTAGCTCTTGGGGCAAGGGGGGGTAGGAGGAATTGCAGTATTAAAATGGCACAAATATTCACTTGGATGCCAAGGCAGTAATCTAGAAGAATGTTTTAATGTAACATTGGTACGCATTGAGATACTTTTGGTATATATCAATGCAATTATTTCTTAAAACAACAGTTGATGTCGATAGTCGATGAAAAGATTAAAAGTGGAGCTGCTGTTATAGCAAGGGTAAGGGAGAGGGGAAACACATCCCAAATCCTTTCTACCCTGAAACTTATGCACAATTTGAAAGCTGGAATTCCCTAATTTCAAGAGCATGCACTCCCTTCCCCTCCCTCCCGCCCTCCAACCCAGCAGTCCATTGAAATTCATAACAAGAAAGAAAGAACTGTAGGCTGAAACAATATGTTGGTACTTATTTTTGGAATATTACCTGCAGTAGTTTTCACTCATGTCCACAAGGTAGATGCACTGGCCATGCAAACAGTAACCGTTCATGTCAGAGCTACACTTTGTTATTGATACTTGAGCCACCCGCGGGTTGTCCTCTTTCTGAACTGTGAAAGAAATGGAAAGTTAAGTGCATTTGGTTTCAATTCCTGAAATCATCCATTTCCCTTCTGTAACAATAACACCTAAGTTGGTCAGGTGCCATTCAGCCAAAGAAATGTTCAGTTATCAAACTCTCTAGCCCAGTAAACAAACCACTGATGCTCAAGGAATAGACCCACACTAAATAAGACAAAATAAGATGCAAGGACTTTATTCTCAAAAGACAGACTCTGTGGATGGGAAGGGTAAGTTGAAAACACATACATACTGTTACTCTCCATCATAGGGATTATTCACGTCTCAAAATAAAATTTGTGTAGTTTTTTTCAGGTCTCAATTATGAAACTCATTATTTCCAAAAGCAATTAAATTTCAAATTGAAACCACTAACTACGTCAAAAAGTATTAAGTCTATTAGGGATTTTTATGCATGTAAATCTTATTGTTTTGGTGTATGTTCCCAAATTATTGAGGTTCAGAGTTTCTTTTTTTAATAAGCTTTTTTTTATTGCGAGAATACTGTACAGAGGGGTTGCAATTACATGAGCAAGGTAATGAGTACATTTCTTCTCAAGCATTGTCACCTCCTCCTTTGTTTTTCCCCTATCCTTCAAAGTTTCTTAATATCTCTTACATAGAAACCTGAACTTGAACTAGACAACCAGAGTTAGTAATGCCTTTAAATAAATACAAAAACTAATGTTATAACTGAAAATTCACTTTACATGTTTGTTTAATTACTAAAATGTGAAGCTTGTTTATGAAATTGTTTGATTTTTTTTAAAAAAGCAAACATCTTGACTGGAATACTCTTATGCAAATAACCAAAAAGGATATGAACAGAGAGGCGGACCAAACCTACGAAAGCCCAATGGTAATGGACAGGAAAGAAGTTAATGTTATGGTTGAAATGTGCTGTTTCCTCAAAGTGACCCTTGACTTAGTCTGAATACAGAGCAGCTCTCTCTTGGAATATGCCTACAGTCTACAGACCTTGAAGAGAAACACTGTGCATTGTGTATCTTTATCTCCATGTCTCAGTATCTCAATATAGTATGAGAGACATACTAAGTATTCTGGAAGAGTTTTTTCAATGCTGAGACTACAAAGGATATCATTTGTTCCATATATGTGTGTGTGTGTGTGTGTGTGTGTGTGTGTTTGTCTGTGGATGTATATACTTATAGTCAACTGTTTACATTTATATCTTTGCTTTAAAATGTTTGATCACCTGATGCACCACTAACGAAGTTAGGCTCACCTAACGCTGTGCAATTATTGTCAGATTCTCCTGGCATGCATGATGGGATCACAGTCGTGCCGAGAACTGCTGGTAGAAGATGGAAACCTAATGGAGGAAAATCAAAGACACAATTAATGCTCCAAAAAAAGAACACTAAATCAGATTTCTACACAACTTCAGTATTTGCTGTGTTGTTAATTGTTTTAAAGACTGATTCCACAAAGCACATAAGAGAAAATAATTCATGGAAGTGGGCATATAATTGAAAATAATTGAGCTCCAGATCTTCTCTCCAAGAATAAAAGCCCTGGCATTTTATTCATAGCAACAGATCTGACCTCTTTCAAATAAAACACAGGTTCCACTTCTGATAACAACAGGAAACTCAAAGTACATTCATGCATTATTAATTTAAATGCCTAATTTCCTTTTCTGTGTTATATTGCATGTGAAAATGGACCTAGTAAAGTGCAATCAGAATATAGTTGTCTCTCTTTAATCATGGAATTGATTCCAAAATCCTCTACAGATATCAAACTCTGTAAGTGTTCTAAGACTCTTACGTATAAAAACCTAATATTTACATATAACCTATATGTAACTTCTTATATAATTTAAATCATCTCCAGATTCCTTCCACTATCTAATACAATTCAGATGCTATGTATGTAATGACAATAAACTCTATACATGTTAGGTATACATTCAATATTTTTAAGAAATATTTTTGTACTTGGTAGATACAGAAGACCTGCTTATCTGGCTTATCTAATATATGAAGGATCAGGCACACCAGGCAGACAACACCAGGTCTTAACACCCACTTTCTATGAGCACAGTTGGAGTGTGAACAAGCTGTTTCACTGTTTCCAGTAAACAAATAAACAAAAAGATATTTGTTGGGGGGCTGGGAAGCTGGCTTAATGGTAGAGTGCTTGCCTTGCATGCATCCAAAAGTGGCTCTGTGGCTCAAGTGGTAGAGTGCTAGCCTTGAGCTGAAGAGCTAAGGGACAGTGCCCAGGCCCACACAACTGACAAAAAAAAATATTTGTTGGAAAATAAGCAAAATAAATATCAGAATGACTCAAGGAGTTTGTTAATGGCATTGAGAACTGGCAAGAAAATCCCTTCCAATGCCACACTTGTTGACTCATGAGCTTTCAGTCTTCTGTTTAAGTTTTAGGTATTTGCGCTTCAACCCCAGTCCAGTCTGTGGGAGCAAATGCTAGGTAATGAATATTCATGATGGCAGCAGTAGTAACAGCAGCATTTAGCATGTCTTGAACGCAATACTATATGGAGGGCTTGACTCAATAATTTTCTGAGGACACTATTGTTTGTCCTATGAGACATGTAAGGAGACTGAGCATAAAGACTTTAGGCAACTTTTCCTAATTACACATGTTTCTGGATGAATTACATTGTCAATTTTGGAAATGGGAGAAAAAAAAAACTGCTAGAGCTTAATGAGCATCATAGAGCCCACTGGGCTGTCCCTAAATGAAGCAGAATATTTACCTTTTAGGAGGAAACAAAGCATGATTTAAAAAAAAACACAATTGTATGACAAAACTAGAGCTATGCAATTTTTGGACATGTTATTTAACTTATTTAAGTCTCAGTTTTCTTTATCTTATAGAGTTTGGATAAGAAGTAGCAGCAATTCCTATAAAAGTTCCTTGACAACTTCTACCTACTAATTTTAGCTGTATGTGTGGATAGGGCCCTCTAGTGGGTTATACTAAAATTACAAATCTCTAAAATTTGTTGTTTGGAGGACTAATATATGCAAAATAAGAATTTTAGTTTTTCTTAAACACCACAAAGTTGTATTGATTAAGTAAGTTCCATATTCTTTGTGGACTAAAAGCCAAGTTATTTACCAGCATCACCATCATAGTTTATATTTTCATATTTTAAACATGACACGTATAACAATCCTATGGCCTTATTAATCCTGTGAAGTTTTTAGTCCTCTTGTGCATACAAATTAAATATCTTAGCCAAAATTGCTTATAATGTCCATGAAGATAAGAGTTAAAAAATCAACTCATATGTTTTATCCATGATTTGAAAATACTGTTTTCTTGAATGCTATGAATCTATCTCCTCACCAGTGTTTTACCTACAATACAAATATTGCATCAATTGTGCTTCTAGAGTTTCCTATAAAAGCTATCCTCTTTATATGTTCTCCCAAAATGGCTAAAAGCTGGATTTCATTGTCTGTAAAACAGAAATGATATTTCATGCATATTATTAAGGAATCAAACCCCTTAACTTAGTCTCCTCAATACAAACTGAGCTTCTCCTATTTTTTTTTCTTTTGTTCTCCTATTCCTCTATACTTTACCAAGAAAATCTGCACCTTCAAACCTAGTTTCCCCGTCCTTTGCAAAAACCAATCCTTTCTTGCTTAGTGCTGCTTACAAATATAACCTACAATGGAATGCAGGTAATTGGATTTGAGGTGTTAACTTTTGAATCTGTTGTTTTTCTCTCTGTTAAGGATTTTAGCAGTGATTAGTTTTTCCACTGTTGGAAACTGTGTTCTAGTTGTTCAGGCGACAGCCACGTGAAATATTTGTCTTTGTTAGTTCAAGAATGTTCAGCCCAGGGTGTGTCTCCATGAAATCTGGGCTTCCCTGACCTGCCACACTCCCTTGTCCATTGCTCAGGACAGTTTCTGTGAGACTTTCTATAGCAACCTAACAGCAGGATATCTTTGAGAGAGAATGGAAACATTTCTCTCACATGACAGTGTGTAACTGCAGTTCCATCATAGATACATGTGGCTAATGAGACAGCAAAGACGGTTGTAAATCACTTTTCCAAGGACGTGGCTTTACTGCTGGGAAACAGTGGTTCTGAAGTATGCCTCACTATGCCTCTACTCCGGGCCCTCAAACCTGGATAGTGAAGTGAGTGGGGAGATCAGGAGACTGCAAAGGCTGCCCTCAGAGAATTAGGATGCCCACCTCTCATCACTCTTAAAAGTCATTATTCAAGGTAGGTGCTGGTGGCTTGCATCTGTAATCCTAGCTGTTCAGGAGGCTGAGGTCTGAGGATGCCAGTTCAAAGTCAGCCAAGGCAACAAAGTCCGAGAGACTCTTATCTGCAATCAATCACCATAAAACCTGAAGTAGAGCTGTGTCTCAAAGTGGTAGAGCAGGAGCCTTGAGTGAAAAAGCTTGGGGACAACACCCAGGCCCTGAGTTCAAGCCCCATGTCCGACCAAGAGAAAAAAATAGCCATTACTCATTATTTTATAGTCATACAGAGAAGAAATAAGCACCAAGGTCATGGTTGTATATTTCCTCCATGATTTCCTTCATGATTTTATCCTTCTCTGTACATGACAATCTCTATGATTCAGTCACAAATATGATATTTGAGTTTTTTGATCCTCTACTTTGGATTGCTAAGGAAATGATTTACTATGATACTGAGGTTTTTAGATATTGTCTAGGTCCAAACCCAAATCTGGTGAAGAATTTTACACTGGTTACTACAGTACTGGAAGTTTTGTTGGGCATTTTGAGGCAGTTTGTGCAAGGTGATAGTAGGTGGATGATATATAACCTCAAACTGACTGTGCAAATTTCTTCTCTCTAAATACAAAGACCAAACTCCCTTCCAAGGTTGTCATTTCTGCCACATTTCCAACTGGGTTAGGAATCTAACACTCACCTAGTCATCTCTCTTTCTTCCTCTTTTGGGGGTTGTTTCAGTGAAATCTCAAAAGCCAGCAGGAAGTGGAGCCACTGACTCACAGGATGAAAATCTCCTCTTCCCTCTGAGTCAGGGTGAAGCGCTCAGCCTTATGCAATGCTGGGGACCATGCTCTGGGAGAGGCCCAGTGCCATCCCGGGAATGGGGATAGCACCAAATGCCACAGGCCCTAAAGCACCAACACACCCGGCGGAAAAGGTTCTCCTAGCACAGGTTTCCTCTGACTTTGCCTCTTAGTGGCTCACCTAAAAGGGAGCCATAAGCAGAGGAGGCTGGAATTCTGTAAGTGGCTGACCAAGCCAAGTCAACCATATCAATTGCAAGTCTTTGGGTTAAAAATGGCTCTTCTGGAAGGCGAATTTATAAAAATGATAGTAGAGAATGAGACGTATACACTTTCTTTTCTCCATTAAATCTTTTAGAATATTTAGACGGGGGCAGCAGACTCATAATGAATCACAGTATTTGTGTGGCCCAAACAGGTAGTGAAATCTGCTTTCCTAACACTTTTGCTGTGGTGGCATGCCCAATGGTTCAGGGAACTGTTCCTTTCCTATCTTCTCCTGAGGCAGTCTGTAACTTTAGGATTTGTCTGTAAAGTTGCAGGCTTGTTAGATCTTGTGCATTTTCATAAGTGGGATATGCAATGCCCATTTTCTGATGTCATTTTGTTAAAAAGTAAATTTCATTATTAGATATGGTCAGGCTTCACTTTGGTTAAAAGTAACTGTAAACCCTTACCAAGTCAGATACTGAAAGACCTTTTATCAGTATTTTTTCATATAACTCTCTCTTTTTTTTGAGAGAGAGACAGAAACAGAGACAGAGAGAGAGCCTCTCATCTCACTATTATGATCCAGGCTGGCCTGGAACTCATTATGTAGCCCCACACTGACCTTGAACTCTCAAGCTGGAGAACTTCCTGTGGTCTGGGGTTATAGGCATATAGCATCATGTCATCCATTAAAAATTCATTCAAAATTTCCTCAAAGCTAACTATTTTTCATCCAGAGAACCCACCACAATACAACTCACATACTGAGAGCTATTAAGGAATTATATAAAAATATAGTTTATAGAAGTCTAGATTTGATTAATCTTGGAGACCTTGACCTCAGTATGAGAAACGTGGACATCCAACATAGAACACAGGGTAAACAGAGCTTAGTTACAACTTGATGAGCAGAAAAAAGAAAGATGATAGCTTACCTTATACTCATTGTTGTTAATTTTTTGTGTCAAATGGTATTTATTTAATAAACATCTATTGAGCATTTTCTGCAGTGAGATATTAGGCCAGATGCTGAAAAAAATTAGTTCAAAAGACATAATTCTTGTCCTTTATAGATTTCATGGAACTCCTACTGGAGTAG